ACATCCATAACCCCACCATCAGGTACTTTCACAGAGCGTTGAGTAACACTATCTTCGCCAGAGACAGCAACCACAAAGTGAACTCCAAGGAGCTCTTCTTTCTTCATTGCGTCTTCAACAATGAACCCGTCAACGCTGCCCCGTTTATGCTGGCTCACATTCAGGCCAACTGCAACTGTGGCTCGAAGCCATTCTACTTTGGCGGGATTGTCACGGCTATTGCACTTGGGCTGAACCTTGGCGATCGCCTCCATTCCATCCCCTCGGTGTTCCTTGACACCGACCACTGAAGGGCCTCCCATCTCATCCGCTCCCGAGCTGACGGGAAATACCATCTGGTTGTGCGTGGCAAGACCGTCCGAAGCATCATCCTTCCGTCCCGCACCCGCATCCATCCAGAGGACCGTACCAACTGGTTGTTCGACCTCACTGCCCCTCCTGCTGCCGCTGTTCCTACTCAGGATCCCACCCACGATTCCGAAGATGAAATCCATGCTGAGTTGGACAGGTCCGAGCAGCCAGAGGCATCACAGCCTCCTCCTCCAGTAGGTACATCTTCCCGCCGCCGCCGTCATCATCCCGTGCCAGACTACACGGAAGAGGATCTCCGTCGCTCCCTAGACCAGCAGGCACAGATACTCACGATGCTGCAGCAGCAGAACCAGCGAGCTGACCAGTTCGAGGCTTGGCACCGGACTCAAATGCAACAACTTCACACCGGCCAAGCTACGATCACTGAGAGCCTAGCGAATCTGACCCTGCAGGTCGAAGGACTCCGAGACACGGTCTACCACACCGGAGCCATGAGCTATGAGGATAGAGTAGCCCTTGCTAGAGCCAGAGGACGCCAGCATGGACGTGACAGAGGCCGAGACTAGATTCCCCTTAATTTTTCCTTCATTGTTTACTATATTCTGTATTTTCATTTTCAGTTGTATCTCCCTTTCGCATGCTTCAAGAATCAGTGAGGACACTGATCGAGATAGTGTGGGAGCGGAGCCTTATTTCCACTGTACTCTGAACTTCCTTTATTTCCATTTCACTGCACTTTGAATTCTAGTAATATCTATTTTTACACTTTCTACTTCTAGCAAATAAAGCTCGTCTATATATTTTTCACGTTACGCAACACAACCCCCACATTATTCAACGTAAACAAAATTTTTAGTTCGTTCCTCAAAAGCAAAAGCACCACGAGAATGCACCTGAGTTCAAACCAAGTTTTGAAACTCCGAGGAAACAACAGTTCTAACAAAACCAGTATCATCCAGACACCTTAGATCTCTAGTTTATGCGAGTCGGTTTCACCACCTACGTGTACCAAAGTCTCAAGTGTCTACGCAAACTCAACCCCAAGTAGTTTATACTAGCAGTCAGCACCATCCTAAAAACACTTCTAAGCGAGCGACCGATGCAAATAAGTGTATGATCTCCAAAAAGATGAAAAAAAAATCATGAAAAGAGAGCTAAAAAGCCCAAGAATATAAGATACATTTCCTTCTAAGTTAGGTGCTCCTCACCCAAGCATTTAGCCCAACGGCACGAAAAACTCATTGAAAATCAATGACATAAAATTACGATCAATGAAGAAGATCAAAAACAGAAATGAGATCATATTCACTAACAAGTCGACTTGCCATGAAAGTGTGCGGACAACGGGCTTAATGTGATTGCGCTAGAACAAACAGGGTGAACTTGCCACGAGAACCTTGACACCAAGATGCAGTAGCATGACTGAGACCGATTTGCATAAAAAGGAGACCTCCGAAGACTTGTAGTCCAGCGTCGTCATGATACTTGTCTTGTTCCTACCAAGAATCCCGGGTTTTCCAAACTCTGCGAACGAAGAAGCTGCCTCGTGCTTGCCGACTTTTCCGTGTTTTACTTGAGGACAAGCAAAGATTCAAGCTTAGGGGAGTTTGATAACACGAAATCATATAGATATTTTCATGCATAATTCGACTAAAAGCTAACCGTTTTTGATCCGATTTCGGGTTATTTCCGTGTATTTGTCTGATGTTTTTGCAGGTATTCAACGATCACGTCTAAACAAGGCAACATGAAGAAAAGAAGCAATCTCAGATGAAATATGGACGAAAAAGGAGTGAAAATACAATGAAAAGCGCATCAATCAGTTTTTGCTGATGTGACGACCGTCACAGCTTCATGACGACCGTCACACGGGTGACGACCGTCACACCTTGTGACGACTGTCATGCAGGCAAAAACGCCCCACTCAGATTACACGTCAAAAGAGCAGTTCCAATTCCCATTAAGTGGACCACTACTCCCTAAATTATCTGCCTCAAGGTCCATCATCCTCAGAGATAACCGTTGGGATTCCACTTCTATAAAAAGGGAAGCAGGGGACTTCAAAAAGAGTGTTGCATTCATACCACGAAGTGCTGCCGAATTTAATTTCCAGAGCAAATTACTTTTCAGTTTTTATTTGTATTCATTTCCCTTTACATTTCCTCATTTCCATTTCCGCTCTTTTGTAATTGCTATTGCACTGTACGATCAAATTGGCACTAAAGACCAGAATCCTGCCAACATCTGTGGAGGATCTGCCCATAGGCCAATTGGCATATTTACAGGTTTTCATTTTGATCGACTTCTGTTTTATTATAATGCAATTTATTATTTATCATTCTTATTTATATTTTGTTTTTCCCAATTCCATGTCTAGCTAAACTTAGGTAATCGATATGTAGTAATAATTCGAATGGGATTTGATAACCACTGGTTTGAAAACTTTCTTTTCACAAAAGTAATCTATGGTCTGAGTGTTTAAAATTGATTCACTGAATAAACTTCGTCGCGAAAGCGAGAACTTATTTAAAAGTAGTTTTGCCACGAAAGTGGGAAATTAATTAAGATACGAACCAACAAGCGAAAGCTGCGGTAAGGTCAGATAGTAAACACTAGGCATTTGTTTTAATAACAACGAAAGCACTTTAAAACGAATTAGAACTTAGAGATTTCCAAAAAATAATTTTAACCCCGAACGGGATACGAAAGTGTACGTTTGGCCCTTAGGATTATGATTAGCGTCAATAACCATCGTGAGACGAGAGTCTTCAAATCTCCATTTTCTGCTTAAATAAACTGTGAAAACTATTTCATACACCAATAATTTATCAAATCCCTGAAGAACACAATTACTACGTATCGATTCAATTAATTAAAAATCTAAATAGTAATCTTAGTTCCCTCTTTTAGTGACAATCTTATTCCCTTAAAACATATTCTACCTAGCTAAACATAGTAACTCCCGAGAACACTAGTTTGATTACGAGTCCCTGTGGGATCGATATCTATTATTACTACGCGATAGACTGTGCACTTGCAGTTAGTTGTATTAGACATAGAAAGTCGCGATCATGAAGTTAAAGTTAGGGATATATATTGTACTCATCCGGATTCCATCAAGTTGTTCAACACATTTTCTACTGTGCTCATACATGACTCAATGTACAAGACCAACAAGTATAGATTTCCATTATTGGAGATGGTTGGGGTTACTTATACTGAGAAGACGTATTCTATCGGGTTTGCATTTCTAGAGAGCGAAAATTATGAGAATGTTACTTAGGCCTTAGAGGTCTGTCGAGCAATGTTGAAGTACCAAGAAGAGATGCATGAAGTGATTGTTATCGACCGTGATACCGTCTTGATGAATTCGGTTGCAAAGGTATTTCCTACTTCTTACGCATTACTTTGTAGGTATTGTATAACAAATAATGTGAGAAGTCGGGTTAAACCCGCCTTAAGGACGAAATAATGTGAGTTTTTGGGCTTGACATGTTTTACCATTTCTTCGTTAAAGTCTAATATGGTATCAGAGGCTATCGATTAAACCATGGGTCATCCAACGTTTATATCCACGCACTAAACCCTAAAGAGTGTTGGACGCGAGGAGGTGTATCGGGAAGATTCCAATTTCCACATTGGTTAGACGTAGAACTTAACAATAGTTTATACAGAGTATCGTCCCTCACCTTAAAAGACAGTTTTCTAGGGTTGAATTAGACCCAACCGCACATTCTTAAGATGGTATCAAAGTCTCGTTTAAGATATATTGAGCCACCCTCCATTTAGTTCCACGCCCTAGATGCAAATCTTGACCGTGAGAGGGAGTGTTAAGAGTTTTACATTGGACAATCTATAGTCTAAATATGTCTTTATAAGTAGGAGCAATCTTCACCCTACAAGTCAGTTTTGTAGGATTGAGTTAGGTCCAACCACACATTCTTAAGAGCACGATTGACTCAATTTCTATAAATAGATCAATTTGGCTGGATTCTGATGCTTAGATCAATTTGGCTGGAATTCTGATGTTTAGTTAGTTAGAATTTTCTAAAAATAGATCAATTTTGATGCTTAAAAGAACTTATGTCCCAAGCCATACAAGCTCCTGTTTAAAAAATGTTGTTCTTCCGTTTGATTGGTTACAATTATACAATTCAGCATCGTTTTCAGAAAAACTAATTTAGTTGCAGATGTATTTTCATGCATACCGGAGCCTCAGGCAATTGATTTCTTTGTGTTTTCAATCCCAAGTTTTCCTTGTTGCACTCACTCAAGAAGGAATTGTCACAACAACTTGAATTTCTCACTAAACTACAAGCCATCAATGATGACCCCAATACCGTACCTGCACAGTTTTTCACGTCCTAATCTATCACAAGGGCCGCATATGGTTTCCATGCAACACCCCTTTTATTCAAACGATTCTGGAAGAGTTTCACAACACCCACCATTTTATGTTTACCACACTGTTTCTAGCATTCTTTGTACCATTTAGTGTTTTTCCTAATGAATTTGAATACAATACTGTATATTGTTGTAATTTAACATTAGATAAAATGCTAGCAAGACCAAAAGAATAATTGTTATCATTTCTCTTCAACATTCACAGAATAAGGGCAAGCTATCAGAGAGTAAAGAAAAATCATCATGTTGAGCTAAAGGCTTGTACATAATAATTATTCTCTTCTTCAACTAGTGCACATCTTCATTTGCTTTTGGAGCTTCATTTTGCAAGTATTTAGATCCAACAGTTGCGACTTCATCATTTCAACATCTTTTCTCATCACTCTTATCTCTCGACTCATCTGTCTTTTTTCAAAATCTTTGCTTACCCTGATGTTTGTCTGAGTTTTTCTTTGGTAATTAAATCCATTACTTGCCATTGTCCACGACGTGTTCACTTGCTCTAGAAGGACAAATTGCGTTGATAGTTTAATCGGAAGTCTATCATTCTTCATTACATGTTGACGCGCTTCTTGTGACAATCTATGGTATTCTAGTACACTACACACATTTTCTCTATCCTCTTCTGTCAAATATGGATGTGCCTGCAAAATTTGGTCAAGTCTAAGTTTTCAGCAACCATATAACAATATACACAAATGCAAAACAATATGGACTATGTATCATTTTTTATGATTCGGGCAGGCATCAACTCTGCAAAATCTACTTGTAAGGTGAAGATCTCTTAACACACACCCTTACCCTTACGTTCAGGACTATCTTATGGAGCGTGACCCGATTAAACCCATAGCGGGTGGTCCAGTATGTGCAATATCAAATATTGTGATCGAATGCAAACGTAATTACGACCATATGATTATTACCTTAAGGTACATGTCAATGACTCTATAGAGATTGTCATCACATTCTCTAGCATTTTGTGGCAAGGCTTCAATAAGCAATTTGAAACTTTCCACTTTGAGCTTCTGGTCCCTTGCAACCTGTGACAGATAACCATCCACCAACCTTCCAACAGCGCAAACTTTTGCTGCAGGATTACTTGACATCCCACAAACATAAGATTGTAACACTTTTACAACAACATCCACATCATACAAACAATCTTCATCTCCATAATTTTTAACCAAAAGATCTTGAACACAACACTGCTCCAACATCAAAACCACTCTTCTTTGTAACACATACATCAACTCATGATTGATTTTCAACACCTCACCTGCCTTTAACATGTGAAGCAAAAAATTGCAAGAGACCGAATTTTCTTCAATAGGAAGCATTTTAATCAAACACTCCGTTGAAACTTTATTTAACTGAATCGTCACGTGTTCATGTCTCGCATTAGAATCAAGTCCAAGTGCGACTTTAGAAAACCACTCTAAAGTCCAAAATTCTATACAAGAACCTATAATCTCCGATCTCATTCCACCTTTTTTGATAGATTGAATCACTTCGATAAAATGATCTATACGTAGAAGCGATACATCTTCAAACCACCAAGCATCAACTCTAGTTTCAAGTTTTGGAACAGCACATGCTTTCCATGCTATAGCTTCTGAACAACGTTTCACTAATTGTAACTCTTTAGCCAAATGTGAAATTGATTCACAGCTTTTGAGTATACGAAATGTGTCTTTCCATGAAGTTAAAATTAGAAAACTGAAAAATGATTCTGTTTTGGTAATGAGATTTTCGCTCTCAATATCTTCACTCATTTCTAAGAAATTTGCAGCACAATATAATGAAGCTATGTTGGATGGTGTCACGTCGAATTTCCAACCGTAACAGAATTTGACAATTAACTCGAATGTTTTTTTACCACCTGGAAGATTGTCTATTTGAATAGTATCAATATTATTCGGTTCTTTGTTGTTGCTTCTTCTCTGAAAGACAAGTCTGTTCAAATACTCACTTCTTGAGACCATGGCAAGCTACAAAATCAAGAAACTGATCAAAACTTTATGCAAAATCACTAAAAGTAAAGATGATATATAACTAAATTAAGATAAGATTCTTATATAATGAAGCTATCTTATGAATATGTGAAGCTGGAAAAATAATAGTCACCTTATGCAAGTGAAAGCTAGAATCACCAACTTGTATGATTAAATCATTAGCAGAACTAGCCCTGGCAATCCTGCATCAAACAAATGAAACTTGTTATGCAAGAAACAAATGAAGAAATCGTAACCCTATCAAAAATCTGTTAAATTTTGGCATATAGTATAGTATGTTTTAATTTTGGCATGATGATTGGGAGGTGAAAATGTTTACCAGTTTTGGTTTTTCCGCTTTAAGGAATCGGCAACTATAGAAACATTAACCGGTAGAACAACACATTGGTGAAGCTTCCCTCCACTCAAGACACTTTCAGAATCAAGAATTTTCATGGTAGCTTTATCAAGAACAGGAAACTTAGCTAGTGGTGAAGAGTACTTGGAGACAGAAATTGAATTGTGGAAATAAATATATATAGACAGAAAAAGTGTCCAACATTGAAGAGGGTTTGTTACCTTTTTCCATCTTGTGTCATGTCAGTGTAAGTATTGGAATTAATATGGAGAGTTTGACAGTGTAGACAGATTGGATGCAAGACAAAATAGTAGATAGTGAATGTTACATTCTCATCCACATAGTAGTACCACCCTTTCTCCATCAGCATCACATTCATCAATTAAGAAGGTGTTTCCTATCTTACTAATCAAAATTGATTCTAGCCTTGTGATTTTGTGGTCAGGAAACTTGCTATTTGCTAAGGCTTTTCAATTTTAAGAGAATTTGTTTAAATATTTGTTTAAATGCATAATCTTTATTTGGATGAGGAAAGAAAATGAAAATTTTGATAATAAAGAGAAAACTTGATTGAGTAAATAAATTATGGCAAAAAGTTTTTTTTTTACTTTTATAACTCTGAGATGATTGGGGTAGAGTTAGAGAGTTTAATGATAACAGGCGAGAATACATGAAAAATTATTTATTCAGTTGAATCAAATCCATCTATATTTTGAAAAGATAGCAACTCTCTGATTTATTATAGTTCAAAATTGTTACAAAAGATTATAATGTGAGTTAAAAAAAAAAGTCTTTTCAGTTCTCAAGCTAAACCCTATTTTTACATAAGTGTTTTTCAATCTTTCAAACTCTAAGAATCACACAAATCAAATCCAAGTGTTTAAAATATTTCTCAAATCCCTTTAATAACTTGCCAAACCCTAAGAATGTAATTCTATCAATTTCTACCATTTGTTTCTCACTATGATTATTGCCTTATGCACCACTTGTTAACAACAGATGAGAAAGAACAATATTTATAACGGTCAAAACTTTAACGGACTGTAAATATGATCCATTAACAAACATATCTATGAACAAGGTCGAAAAAACCTGAGACATGCCTAGTGTAGAGTTATAATTTTAAATGGAATCGCTTAGGGCGATGCCTAAGCGATGCCTTTAAATCGTCCCGTTAAAGGCAACATTGGAATATCGCCCTAAAGGGAGGACCCATATAGGAAATGTAGGATAAGAAGTTTCTGGGGAAGAGATAAGTCTAGTTCAATAATTGATACACAACTTATTTAAAAATGTAGATTCAACGATCCACTATTGACTGATTGAGTGGTGACCCTTCCCAAGAGAATATTAGGCCCTAGAGGCCTCTATAAATACATCTTCAACGTAGAAGAAAAGGGAATAAATATTAAGCCATACAAATCACTACACCCTAAAGCGTAACGCTTATCAATGATCATCTCTCACATGACCACACCCAACATAAACTTATACCTAAGCATATCGTCCATCAACAGGGTCTCTCACCTCATGTTAGTAGGACCCATAAACCATCGTAAAACACCACCACACATGGATTCCTGCTACCGTGGACAAGCTCTTACCACCTACAATTTTTATAAATTTACTAAGGCCTTTGAGTCTCCTTGCTCTTGCAAGAGGAACACACATACCCGTACTTTTTTACCAGTACAATGGTGCCCACCGCAGAGCCCTAATAAAATTAACTTGGGTCACACTCCTACTCTAACTGCATTCATCTTCCTCCAAATGTGACCGACAAAACCACAACCTGCAACACAAACATCATCGCTGGAGGTTTCTCCGTAACTCCAGATCTTCCTAGAGGAAATACGCAAGACGGGTGTTTGCAGCAAATGTAATATCACATGGCTTCCCCAGAAGCTCTAAAGGGAAAACAAAGGTTAATATCATCTTTTCCAAGGAGGACACCATCGGTCTCAATCCTCACGATGATGATCCTCTGGTTATCATTGTGTAGTTGGGTAACTGGGACATTTGGCATGTTCTGATAGACAATGGCAGCTCTGATGACGTCCTGTTTTGGGACGCCTTCTAGAAATTGCAACTCAAGCCGAATGACGTAAAAATGTCCAGTAGTTATTTGATGGAGTTATCAGAAAAACATGTACAAATAATGGGCCGCATAACTATGGAAATCACATGTAGCGAGGAAACGAACGCCAAAGCGATTGATGTCAGCTACCTCATTATAGACGCCCTATTACCTTACAACATCATTCTTGGAAGACCAAATATCAACGCCCTAGGAGCAGTCGTGTCCATGTTATACCTAACCTTAAAATATTTGTTCCTTGATGTGCAAGTCGGTAAAATTCGAGGAGACCAATAAACAGCTCGAGTGTGTGTCGCACCTCGAAAAATCAATCGAACAATACGACCCTCGCGTTAAAGGCGCGGAAATGCGGTTCGACAGAGTCGCCACCGAACTTTATTTATCCCGAATAAACGAGAAAGGAAAATATCAAGAAAACCTTTTAAAATGAAAGGATAGGAACAAGGTCGTCGCACCTGATGTTCCGGGTTCGGGAGTCGGTTACGCAATGGGAAGGTATTAGCACCCCTCACGTCCGTTGTACTCAACGAGAACCTCTTAATTCGAATTGTGATGAACGTTAGCCAAGTTTAGATATTTTTTCTCAATAATAAATGCTAAACGGTACGATAAAAGGCTAAAGAAGCTAAGGGGGAAATGGGTGGTTAGAGGATAAGGCGCTCGCCAAGGATTAGGGCCCTTGCGCCTACGTATGCTCATTCGAACGAGAATGAGAAATCAGAGTGTCGTAGTTCGACTGCGGGAAAGGATAGGGGGGAAACGAAAGATGGAGGGAATTGTGCTCGCCAAGATCATCGCAATCTTATGTCTACATATCTTACATTCAAACGAGAATGAAGAATCAGAGTATTCGTAGTTAGTGGGAACGACCACGAAAAGATGAAGGATTGAATTGAGGTTTGAAGTTGGTTTGAGTTTGGTCGGATGATGATTACTCGAAGCTTAAGAAAGGCTCCTCAGGCCTAAGTAACCGGTAGAGTGAGTCAAAGACTTGACTCTCTCTCTTTTTCATCTTTGAAAAGAAGGTTGTGTTTGAATGGTGTTTGAATAATGAGGTGTTTGGAAGGTGGTTGAAATGTTGTTGTATTGGAAATGTTATTTAGAGGCGCCAGTTGCTCACACACGAGTAAGGTAACTCGTATCCAAACAACTAAAGGGAGATCAAAGGCTCAACCCCCTCTTTTCACCTTGAAAGAGTTTCGATAGTTTTTTAATTGATTTGATGGTTTGATTGAGAAAATCTGTTTGACGTTGGATCAAGGGTTTGACTTATATTTGCGTGAAAAACCGTGGTGGAATGGAAATGGTTTGAAAATGGCTTGACGGAGAGTTGAGGGTTTGGTTGAAAATGGAACCATCTTGACGACGAATCAAGGGTTAGGTTGTGAGAAATGATATTAGTCCCTGAGGGTGCTCCCAATATCGAAACCACAGTGAAATGTGAAAGTGTGTGCGATAGATTGATGGTGAATGCGGATGAGCACTCGACTTACGAGAGGTGTTTGAAAATGACTCGATGACGAATCGAGAATTAGTTTGAAAACATTTTAATCTACGCTAGTCCCTAAGGTGCTCCTAGAAGATAAACCAAAATCAAAGAAACACAAATACATACATTAGAATGGGAGAGGGGTACATGTAAGTTATACGGGATTGCACGAAATAAAAGGTCTCATTGTCAGGTAGCCCAAGAGGAAGTCGTGTGTGTGCAATGTGTTATAACTAAGCCTTGAGCAAAAGTTGGAAAAAATCTCCAAGCAAGGGTTCCTGAAAAAGTCCAATGATCCGTCACTCGGACGAACAACCAACAGTCCACCAATTTAGGATTTTATGGTTTTAATAGTTGTTAGGTGTTTTCGAATCGAATATGAATAGGATATGATCAATATGAATATTTACAAGATGAATAATATGGCAAGATATATAACAATATGATCGAGATAATATTCACAATAATGTAATCGAGATAAATATCAACAAGATAATATAAATCAAGATAATATTGGCTGAAAGTAAAATAGTGTATATTAGACTGGAAATAAAATAGTTGTATATTGACAAAAAGTAAAGTTAGTGGTTAGTCGATTTATGGATTGAATCGGGACGAAGTGTAACGCTAAACCATCGTAGCTCGACTTATGACGAAAGTCGGGCTATAGGAGGTCGCGTGAATTGATACTCGTGCTAAAAACAAGGTAGAGAAATGATATTGAGGACCATTCTCCAATTTAATCGTGTCACACGGACCAAAAAGAGTGGGATCTCTTCTTAATCATAAACTTATATCGGTTAGTCGAAGGTAGTCTATCACGATCCCAAAGTAAAAAAAATGACTCAAATGGTCATTTTCCATAGATTTGACACAGTGAAGGTTATCAACTTCGATAAATCGATGTTTAAGAATCCAAAGACTTCATTGATCGATAAAAATAAAATAAAATCAAGATGGAATTGAAAATGTGAAGAGAAAAAGAAAGTGGTCTCGGATAAACTATTATTTATCAATAATTTGACCAATAATAGTTCTTAAGGTCTCTTCATTGATAAAAAACTAAATGATAAAAAGAAAATATATATATATATATATATATATATATATATATATATATATATATATATATATATATATATATATATATATATATATATATATATATATATATATATATATATATATATATATATATATATATATATATATATATATATATATATATATATATATATATATATATATATATATATATATATATATATATATATATATATAAGATCTTCAACACTAAATCATATGATGACTACAAATAATGAAGTGTTCTTTTTTAGAAAAAATAAACTGATAGCAAATAAGAGGGGGTTTAGTGTTCTTTTTTAGAAAAAATAAACTGATAGCTGTCGCTACTCGAAAAATGCATCGCGCAACGACGGGGAGGCGAAAAAGATAGACAGAAGAGTCGCCACCGAATTTTATTTATCCCATGAGGGGAAAGGAAAATATCG